CGTGAAATCCACCCGCGCCCCCCCCCCCCCCAGCTCTGGATCGAAGTATCTGAAAAAACCCTAGACGAGCCATACTACCAACTTCACCTCCTTCATCATCCATCTCATTCAAGCTATCATAGGCATCGGCCTTCACTCGTTTGGTCCACGGCTTCGCATTATCAGTGATGTCGTCGCCAATCGTCGTTTCTTCCGAGTCGAAGACGTGCGTGCCGAACAGTGCGGTGAATACTTGATCATTCTGATGTGGCGAGCGCGCTATAGCTTGATATGTTTTCAGTCTGCGAACTCGAGCTTCTAGTTTACAGGGGAACATGCGCCAGTACTCTAGCACCTCCGAGGTCGTCATCGACTTGTGCGTAGTGCGCGTTTTTTCCGTCCACCCATTCCTCCGCCCGCGCGCGTGCTGCGCCCCTCATCGCAATACGTACATAGCGCGCAACTAACTTGCAAACGGCCTGCCAACTGTCTTCATTTAAAATAAAACACTCATTGCCGCGCAGCGATGCATTCTGGACGCAGCAGATGAGCATACCCCCCCGCACTTCCCAGGGGCACGTTTCAGGGTCCAAAAACGCCCCAGGGAGTGAAGCGCCACTGCCACGGCCCGTCTTCGTCGTTGAAGTTCTGGCGAAAACTGCTGTTCGAGGCAACCTAGGCTCCAGGGTATGTGGCGCGTGGCTCATGGCGGGCGGGTAAGACAATTCTACCTTGCGTGAGATTCAGCGCGCCACGGCATGACCCTGGCCCCGCGAGCACTGGGACGACCCCTTGCTTCGAGCGGTTCTGGCGGCAGCCAATCGACTCCAGCGATCTGTAGAGCTCCTCGTTCGTCTCAATGCTCCCGCTTGTAAGCTCTTCCAATCCCTCTCCTTCCTTTCCCAGGGTCGTCGGCGCACTGGCACAGAGACAAGTCAACGGTTCGTTTCGTGAATGGGTTTTCAATATTCGGCCCCACCATTCTCGATTCCTTTTTTTCAGCCAGCGCCCGGCTCCATTTGTTGACCCCAGTCTGAAATCCAAGGACAAAAAGAAGCACCACATAGGGATCCCCCATTAGTGCTCCGCAGGTTGGCTTGAGTAGAGTGGACGCGCCCTGCATACTCGGGAGGGAGATGGCCGCGTCGCGGCACCGTTGCTGTCCAAACTCGCTGCCCAGGTCTTCTCTCATCAGCCCCGTACTGGCGCCGTCCAGCTCCGCCCACTCAATACTACCGAAAGCATTGCTCAGGTCGTGCAACTGTTGTAAACAGTTTCGACTGGCCTGTTTGATCCGATAGAGGGTGGTAGTTACTGCAAGCATCGCGCTCTCCTGACAGCGTCCTTTGACAAAGCCATGAACTGCATGAGGCACCAGCGGTAAAGATGAGTTGCCTGCACACCAAGCTTTGCCCAGAAGGGCAATAAGATGTACTATGCGTAACCCAAATGCCGTGTCTCCGATGTCCGTGACCCCCTGGCTCGCGTGCCAATATGTCGGGGTGCGCCCAGCCGTACGTATTCTGACAAATCCATCTTCGATCGCGCTCTTGAATAGCGGTGCCTCTCGAATCTGTAGTCCAAGTCCCAGGCCTCTCCCTGCTGGTGCCACATCTTCTGGCAACTGTGGACCGCCCCCCATTAGAAGAGCGATCAACTCAAGAGGGGCGGACCATGGAGGAACTGCTCGTTGTTTCGCTGCTCGTCCCAAGCGTTTGCGAACTCGGTGGAAGCCTCCTCCGGCAGCTTTGCGATATGTCTCACCCAGCGCTGCCATGGTCTCAATATCCGTCTGTGTTTTATCCATTCATGCCATGCCAAGTGTGCAAGAGTTGTGTACCCGTCCCGCCTTGATGTTCTGATAAGCCCCATTGCTGCATCCACTGTGAGCTGCTCAAGCCAGCTGTGGGAACTGCGAGGTGGTACCTTCGCTGTGTTCCGTATGTTGTGCCCGCAGCTCTCCTAGAAAGTCGATGTACCTCAGCGCGCTGTCTTTTGTTCCAAGCTTCCCACAAGGAGTCGAGCGTGCGATCCTGGAAACGGAGCCACCCGCGATGTCGATATTCCTTCATCCGTTGTGAGAGTGCCTTCAGCTCAATCCTACATGCATCGTTGTCCTGCTCAACCATGTCCGAGTCGAACTGCGACCGCTGTTACATCCGTTTTTTAACAGGAATGAACGTCGCTCTTTTGTCCTTTGATAATCAGGATCGCCATATAAAGACTGTATTGTGAACAGCTCCTCGCCCACCGAGATCATCAGTGATTCCAAGTACTCGAACAGTGGGTCAGGGGAGGATATGTTGATGAGCGCAGTAACTTCGCCCGCGTTCTGCCCAAGGTGCTGCTCCACTTGTGCGATGAATTCCTCGCCCTCTTCGCTGCCAGAAATGGAAAGGGCCTGCATCAGCTCGTCTCGGTCCCATCGTACTCCTTTTGTCGCCTGAAATGCTTGCGCACCTGGCAGCCGACACTCGACATGTAGTGGAACATGGTCTCGCCGAAACGTGCTTGGAATGTGTTGTAATTGTCTGCCCAGACGGAGGAGTGTGCCACTGGTACGGGTCATATATGAAAGTGTCTGGGGGATGGCCATATATTCCACGAGCGAGTAGGCGCCGTCAGTACCATACCACGTGGCTGTGTCACTCCCCGTCGTGGGAGCATATAAGACATGCTTCTCCAATAGTTCTCTAAAGGTCCTGCCAGCGGCGTGTTCCTTGCGTGCTCCAGCGGGAAGAATTGCAGGTGTCTCCACTAGGTATTCGCCGCCCCTGGCCGAGCTGTGATCCTTGCCCAGCCCGTCATTTAGATCCACTCCGAAAATGGGTACGCTGCGGGTCGGTGTTGTGCTGATGAGCTGATCAAGCCAGTCCGTGAGAGCTGTGACCGTTTTGTCATACACCTGCATTGCTTTCACCGAGGTGGGCCTGGGTGGGTAGTAAGCTCCGATAGCCGTAAATACCCATGATATTGATGATACTCGAACGGCCAACCCCCGTCCAGCGAGATGCGCTGGGGGGACCTGCACTATTCGAAAGTGTTGTTGGCGAACTTTAGCTCGAAAAGAAATGAGGACGCCCGTGGACTTCTTGGTCATGGATCCAGCGGACCTGCCCGCGTCAATACGCCACCTGCTGCCGCTGCGAGACTGCTCCATCCTCTCCTTGGTTCGTCGTTGTGCCCACGAGCGTAATCGCATCGAAATTTCGAACATGTTAATTCAATCTCCTCGAGACGTTCCCCCGCCGTGGCCGCGAGGGGGTTGTAGTGCATCATGCGCCAGACGTGAGACTGAGACTGTGCCAGGTCGTGTGCCTGCTCTCCGCATCTGGAAGCTAGCGCTGCCAGCAATCCGCCTGCCACCCTCATCAGGCAGTGGCCGTTCAGGGCCTGATCAACTGCGGGGACCTGCAGGACGAGGGGGTGTTCCGATGGAACGGCGCCTGTCGCCAAACCTGCGCTCGTGCCATATGGGCGACTAAACCCACCATCATCATCATCATCATCATCATCATCATCATCATCATCATCATCATCATCATCATCATCATCATCATCATTATCATCATCATCATCATCATCATCATCATCATCATCATCATCATCAGCATCATCAGTATCGTCACCAAAATCAGCATTATAATCCATATCATCAGCACCAGCATCAGCATCATCACAATCATCACGATCATCATCAGCAGCAGCATCATCATCATCATCATCACCATCATCATCATCAGCAACATCATGATCCTCCTCCTCCTCCTCCTCCTCCCTGACTCCCTCCCTCCCTCCCCTCCCCTTCCCTCCCCTCCCCTCCCTCCCTCCCTCTCTCCCCCTCAGTAAGGCCCCGGGGCACCCCAGGCTACCAGGAACGTGTTCCCAGAGAGGCTTCCTCGAGCATCTGGCTGCACCGGCCTATATGCTACTGAACGGCCGAGGGGCTGAGATCGGCCGCGCGGCCAGGACAGCGAACGGATCCAGCCAGACACCACAACTTGCGCCACGTGTCGGCGGCGATATACATATATATATATATATATATATATATATATATATATATGTACACACACATTTATATATGTATATATACACATCTACATATATATAATAAAGATGTTAATATTAATAGTCAGATGTGTTCATTGTTATGTTGTTTCTTGCGAGCGAGGGGGGAAAGTGAGAAGGAGAAGGCCTTCTCAGGAGGTTCGGAAGCCCCCCAGGCCGTCCGAGAAGTTTCCCAAGCCTTCCCCGAAGACAGACAAAAGCTTCTCAGAAGGCGCGAGGGCTTCTGAGAAGTCCCGCCGCCTTCTGAGAGGGCCTTCTCCTTCTCATTTCCCCCCCCTCGCTCGCCGCTGGACGTAGCTTGAACCAGCTGGCTATAGGAGTCATCGGCAGTCTAGCATAGCAGAACATGCGGCTCTCAGGGGAACGCGGTGCGACCCTACGCCTGCACGAACCTAGGAACGTGGTCATTTGAATGCGCTGCAAGCCCACGCCAGCATGCGACTAGTTCTCAGTGTAGGTGTCTGTTGATTTTCGACTCAAGTGCGAGGTAGAGGGAATACCTTTTCTCATCCCTCCTACTCTCGTGGTGGCCCGTAGTGGCCGCAGCAATCGTGGAGGCCAGAGCCGGGCCTCGATCATCAACTCTTGGGAGGTGCGGCTTGCCGAGGCAGCCGACTACCTCCTGAGCGGCCCTCGGCATCCGATCGAGGCCCCAGTGGGGCGCACTCTTGCTACTTCCGACCTCACGGGGCGAGCTGCTGAACTACTTGACTGCTGTCGCCGGGAGCTCTCCGGAGGGTGACGTGGAGTCCGAAAACAGTGACGAGTAAACCATGCACCCATGGGTGGGCAGTACCCTGCGCGCTTCCCAGTGGATGCCCCGTCGGACCACAAGGCGCTCGCAAGCCCTGCCCTCCCCATCCTCTCCCCTGCTCCCTCCCTCCCTCCCTCTCCCTCTCCCTCCCCTCCCTCCTCTCTGCTCCCTCCTCCCTCCTCCTGGCCCGGCCCGCCAGAAGGGCCCATCGGTCCGGTACGTGACGAGAGAGAGCACCTCGCCCACAGTGATGGCCACGTACGCCATGCTCTGCCCCAGCCGGGCGCCCCACGCCGCGCAGTTCTTCGTCTGGGACAGCAC